TGCACTCCGCAGAGCGGTCATGTCATACTTGGTTATGGAAAATAATCCCAGATGCCTGCAGTGCTAAAATGGAGCTGTAATGTGCTCGCCTCCTAACCCGGCCTGACAGCCATGATGTACGACTACCATTACCGGAAAATATCACTTCAACTAACCCGTGATCCGGCTCCGCTAAGGGTCATATTATCCATGAGGAACAAATTACACTCCCCCAAAGTAAATACAAATTTCCTGCACTGACTGGGTACAAAGCACAAAGAGGGAGTGGGAGGGGGGTGGGCAGGCGGGAACGTTACCTATGACAACGCTCTGCAGAGTGACAAGGATGATAAAGTACATGACAAATCACTGGCTGACAGGGTACTCTAGTGCAATCAGCCTCAGCCTCGGCCTAGCGAGCACCCACTCAAGCCTGTAAACACTACTCTCTTCCTTTGGAGGGGGGCAAAACACATAATCTTTTAACGCTGACAAGTTGCTCTCTCCTTTTTATTACTCATCCTTCCCACTGCGGTGAAAAGAGGGAGGGTTTTTGGGGGGGGTTGTAGGGGAGGTGGGAAGAGGAGATAAAACGGTTTTATGTACAGCGCTACTGAGTGATTGAGAAACACAACTCGTCTGGTGTAATTGCCTGAGGGCAAACACAGCAAAACAATAAAGGAAGAGAAACAGCAAATATATTACCAGTTCAGATCTTTATTTTATGTCAAGGACAAACAGATACCTCGCGCCGCTCTAAAAGCCCCTCGGTTTCAATGAGGGCAGAGCACGGCAAATTACGGCACCCCCCCGAGCGCGCAGTCATTAATAAGATGCAAAACATTTCCAAAACACAATTTACAGCTAGCTAGTGACTGCTGATATTGAAGGTAAATAGTGCTTACGGAAGGTGCGGTTTAATATCGTGCCGAGAAATAAAAACGACACGAGGAAGAGCGAGTCGGCGGATCAGCGAGTCGGCACGAGTTCAGACCGAAACGTCTGACTGACATTTTCGAGGTGCCACTTATGAGAGAGGGAAAAAGTCACTTCAGGATTAGCAAGTCCAAACAAAGAGGGTCTGAGAGCTCTTGATGATATTACAAAGGTGAGGAAATTGACCACTGTTATAACAATTTATAATCCAGTGTATGTATTTTAAAATAAAAAAGCTCAAGTGCAGAAAAATGCATAAATGAGCGTTTCATCATCATTTGGGCAAATTTTCTAACTCCAAAGTGGATAAACTTGAATACTCAATAGGTTTAATCATATCAGGTGATGTTTATCTGTGTAATGAGGGTCAGGGTGGCCTAAGGAACACCTTTTACCAAGGTGTGCATGATTTTCAGGAGCTTATTCTGTTTATCTAAATATGTCAGAAAAACCAGAATACACAAAATTCTGAAAAATCAAAAATTGCCAAAAAATCTCTCAAAGGAAAGGTGAGAGTTTTTTTTGGGTGGAATTTACTTTTTTTTTCTATCTACAATTCCCCTAATCATCCTTCATGCAAGAAACATTCAGAAAGTATAACGCATAACTTAATTTCTGGTTTCTATGTTACCAGCACCTGGTGAAAATTTCATGCCAACAGCACTTTAAGATATTTAATATATGTTTACTATGGAAAATTACGATGTGTTCTCCCGCTGTAAGAAGTTTGGATTCGTACCAACAATCTGTAATCTCAGTGAAGAGAGACTGTTTTGGCTGATTAATACAGTAATTACTTAACAGAGCAAATGGTTGATAAAAAAAAAAAATAACAACAAGGGCCACACTACTCGTACCTGTGCCACAGTTTGAGAAGCATCGATCTTCTCTTTCACAGAGCAGTTCTCTGAAACGCTTCCAGTGAGTATTAATGATGGGAACTGTGGTTATAAATTAACCGCAGCATGTTTCACCGTTCCAAAATCAACTCTTGGCTCCATCGTACTTGCATTGTAAATGTCCATGCACTCCAGTTATGCTACCATGGAACCACAGCTCTGCTTTACACAATAAGCTATAAAACCAAAATCAGTTATAATGAGTTGACAAAGAAGCTATGCATTGAGTGTTTTTAGCAGTCAGAGTTGTTGGTTACAGTGAGTGATTGTAGCAGCTCAGTAAGCCATCCTTCAGGTTTACTGAAGGATAGAACTGCATCACCTAGAACCAATCTGAACGGTGTATCTAATTGGACCAAGAGACTAGAGATGACCCAATCCAATACTAGTATCAGTATCTGTCCTAATATGAAAAAACAGAACAAATTAAGCTTGGTTATTGGTGACAGTTTGCTCAATCCAAAGGGAAGATCTATTCAGTCTAACTCTGTTAATTCTTTGAGTGATGCTTTATTATTTATTTTACATTATATCTAGAATTCCTAATTGCATTTCCTGAACCATTTGCGAGAAGGTTTGTTGCAGATTATTGACCAAGATGGACAAAATATTGTATTTGTCAATTTCAGTTTCTTCATTGGTTGTTATACTCTTAATTCCACTGACTGAACAAATTAAAGACAGACATGTGTATGATCTTCACATGTCTGATCAAGCCTTTGAAGCTATTAGTGTATTTAAGTGTGCTGTAATGGTGCAAAGTTCTCAAATACATTTGTAGTGCGGTACATTTATGTCTGTGTTTAAAAATAGACGCGTTTATCAGTCAATTCAGTGCCATTGTCCTATATCATATCGGTATCGATCGTTATTGAACGTCAAATATCGGTATTGGTAAGAAAAATGCGAATTGGTGCGTCCCTACCTTAAGCAAGACTGCGTTATCTTTTTGAGCACTTTTTAGTGCGTTATCCAACCAAGAGTGTGTGAACTCTGCGCTCTACTACAACCTACAAATTATTCTGTAATTGCAGACTGCAGAGACTAAAGTGCATCTTCCAGAAGAAAATTAGGGTTTCCGCTTTACGATAGTGGCCAAGAACTCAGAAACCCAATCTATGTGATGTTGAAACACAGAATTATTTTGTCATGTTTCCTCTAAGAGCAGCAAAACAGAAACTTGGCTCTCCATTATAGACTGTTCTTCCCTATGCAAAACCACTGGTTAGGAACCCTTATAACAGAAATGTTAATGATAATGCACAAAGAGCTAATAACGTCGGTGGTGTGTGACGAGTGACTGCACTGAGCCTTCCACCCACCTGTCTCCCAGAATGCTATTAACATGTCACGTTGGAAAGGGGGCCCATCCTGCGGGTCACTTTATAATGAGCAAATGCTCTGGCTGTTTCCAGCTCGTTCAGACACAAGCACACGCACGCATGCGGGCAAACACACACGGGCATGATCTTCCGAGATGTGAATAGCTGTGTCTTATCGGAGCCTGGCAGGTCCCTCCGACACAGGGAGAGAGGCCTTCTATACCAGGCAGGACGTGATTTCTCCCGGGGACGCTTTTTCCATTTCCTGCTTTTGAAGGGAAACTAAATAAGCCACGTTTGTTCTCATCTGAATACATTTGACCCATTAAAAAATGACTCGACTCTCCCGTGTGTTTCCCTGCCGTGGTTTCGCGAAGCGTACCGCATTGCCCACAGAATGCAAATGTTCTAGGTGACTGGCAGGAGCTGATAGGGGGCAAGAGGTGCCTGGGACTCAGGAGGGGGTAAAAGTGTTGAGAGGGAGCTCCAATTACCCCCCTAGACCACGTGAGTCGACCCTAGTCGTCGGGGTCTTCTATTTACTAATTCACTCCTCTCTTACTTTAATACACAATTAATCAATGACAGGAAGGTGTAGTCGGGGCTGTTCATCAGGCGCGTAACGTGAGCCAGGGTGAATTAATACAGTCACTGTGGGGATTACAGCTTACCACGCTCTCTCTCTCTCTCTCTCGCTCTCTTCCTGAAACAAAAAGGAATTGCCACCGAGACAGGAGCAATTTAAATCGACAACACTGAGTAATGACTCAATTTGCCGCACAGTCTAAACACAACAAGCAAATGGCATTACTAAATCATTAGAGAGCATCCAGAGCTCTAGTTAGAAGTTAGTGGATGATAAAGCTGCTTTCAGGATCTTTAGGGTGCACTCAAAACCTTAAAAAACATTTGGATCAAGCTTTTATTAATGCTTACCATTACCGGGATCTTGTGAATACCAAAACAGCAATAAAGATTCAGGGAATTCATTACCATGTTTATTTGTCTTGCTCGATCCAGACAAGTGGTGTATGCTAGGTACGGGTAGAATAAAGTGGTGGTAAAATCCTACTTTAAAACAACCAGAGAGTCTGAAATTCTGAATGAAAATAAAGTGTTTAAGTGATGTTCATACTGAGCTGTTTTAGGAGTGGCATGGTATTTTACTCCAGTCAGTCAGTTAATTTCAAATTAAATATCAGGACTAGCAACCTGGTGGAGAAAAAGAAACTGTTTAGGTTGCTCATCAGCTGCGTTTCTATTGCAGATGAGCACAGATCGTTATCTATATCCTGCTAGTGTTAAAAAAGACACACAAAAAAACACAATTTCCCAATTGCGGTGTATCCATTAAATAAAAAATTAAATGCACAAAATATCAGCTAACTGTCATAAGTGACTCATAGAAGCAGATTTGATATTTCACAAAATTGAAGTCTTCATTGATAAAATCAAAACTGTGTGAGAGAAGCTTTAACACGACAGGAATGAAAACACACAATGATTTCCATTTAATTAAAAAGTGATAGAAGCATAGACAAGGAACGTGTAAAGCTACAAGAACTGGATCTCAGACTTAATGACGGTTTTGATTTGAGCAAAAATCACCACTCAAGACAGTTACAACTCCCTCATTTAAAACATCCCCAAACCCTAAAACCCAGATAGATTTAGATTTTGCTCCTCATTAAGTCATTCATAATTAATGTATAAGTAATTAAGGCCTTCTAGTACTTATTAAGTTGACGTTTAATTCTAATTACATGAAATCCTCAGTCTTAAAGATGGTCTCATTTTGAATATTGCTGAATATCTTGATGCCTGCAGCGCAGTCACTGGTGTATGAAGAGAAAAGCAGGCTTACCTTGTCTTCCTGGTCACTCTCTGTGTCACACTGCAAAAAAAAAAAGAAAAAAAAAGAAAGGAAAAGAACAAAAAGACAAGGAAGAAATTAGGAGAAATGCTTTCAGGTTCTTGGTTCATAAAATGAGTGCCAGTTTTTAATTCAAAAGCAACTTATTGCACATTCATAGACACAGTAAACAAATATCAGACCAGTTCATTAGAACACGCAAGAGCAACGTTCGCTGTGAGCCTCATTAACGGCGAAACCCACAAACTGCGAGATTCAGACTCGCCCAATCCCGCTTCCACAACGAGACTCGCAGCTCGAGGCCGGGAATGGCACGACGACAACGAGGAGGAAGGAACTGTGCGATTGAGGGAAGGAGAAAAAAAAAAGAAGAAGAAAAAAAAGGTGGCTGGATTTCATTTTTTCGTTCCAATTTCAATTTCAAGGTCCACTTAATTCTTTATCAACTAATTAGCGCGATGCTGGGTGACTGGCAGCCCTCAACGCTGTGCATATGGCTGAGGCGCACAGAAGCACTGGAGTCGGTAATGAAGAAGGCACTGGGGGTGCAGGGATTGTGGGTAAGGGGGCCTGGCACAGTGTGTGGGTAGGAGTGAACTGGTTGGCTTAGGGAGTGGAGGGGGATTGTTGGGTGGCGATTAAAGCAGGGGTGAAGGAAGGAGGGAGAGATGATTGACAGCCTAGGGAGTGAGCAACAGAAGGCCCTGCCTGTTATTTTTTTCCCCCTTTATCTCCTTTAACTCAAAGGTAGCTGGCTGGCTCTGAGGCTGATCTGTTTCTCAGGCTGGATGGTGAAGAAGAAGAAGACGAAGAAGAAAAAAAAAAGGCGAGAGGTGGTGGGGGGGAAGCCCTGCGAGCTCAGCAGGAGCATTGCATCCAATTTACAGGCCTGTCCCACACGGCCCCAGGGGCCGCCCGCGGCACACTGCCATGATGGTCAGCTCCAGCAGCTCATAAATTATGCAGAGGCAATAAACGCACTGGGCAAACACTCCACAGACGCTCCCCTGCTCCATTTCTGTCTCGCTCTTTCGCTATCACCCGCAGCATTCTCCCCACCCCACATTTTTTTAAAGAGAGGCATGCAGAGGACCTGCAGCCCCCGCGGCCTGTCAGAGATGACGGAATAAATGTGAATAACGACAGCTAAGTGCAGATCATCATTACGCGTTAGCGGGGTTGTCACGATCCGAGAGATTCTGACCTGACACCGATAACGAGCACAAAACTTGAATGCGTTCAGATTTTCTGAATGCATTCAGATGTTTCTAATAAAAATCCCCCCTCCCCCCAAAATAAATAGAATTGAGAGCACAGAAATATTTCCTCTGTGCTAATCGCTGTAGTGAGTAGCAGACAAGTCAGCAGAAATTTAGATATAAATGACCTTGAAAGTTTTGTTTTATCATTGAAAAATAAACATCAGCTAGCATTAATGGGGCAACATGTTTTATTCACACAAATAGTAGCACAATTAAGCAACTATCCCACCTTCAGTTGTTAGAAAAATGCTATATCTATCAAATATGGCTTGTAATTCAACACCTTGAAATTGGGTCTCTGTCTCTTTAAAAAGTCCTGCTCTTTCTGAAGTCATCACAATATCCTCTATTAACATTTTCACCGGCAATACCGGCCATCAACAGAAACTTCTTTATTGTTAGAGATTTGTGATTTATTTCTTTAAATCTGAGCATCTCTCCGCTGCCGTTTCATAACAACAAATCATACAACACAAAGAAGAAGCCATAGCAACAAAAATGGCTTCAGAGTTAAGAATATTGCTTGTTTTGTTATTATATGGTTTTTATTGAATTTTGAATAATGAATTACAGACTCTGTAATTAACTGAATTAAAAAATTTAAGGTGAAGGGTGAAGGTAATTTTGTTTATATAGCACATTTTCAGCAACAAGGCAATACAAAGTGGTTAAATCAAAGTAGATAACTCATTAGTTTAAAAGTACTTTTTTAGGACTAAACATGTTGTTTTTTTGTGAAGATTGGCAAACATTAAAAGAAGAGTGGTAAAAGCTGGACTGCAATTTGTGACATGACGTCCTTTGCGAGATGAGCTACATGTCTGCACATTTGGACAGTATAGTTGTTGCTAAGAAATCAATAACTCTCATGGTATGGCAGTAGAAATAAAGATTTCCATGTTGCAATTCCTGTTCACCTATTGCCATTTTTTTCATAAAAAAACCCCTTTGGGTCTTATGACCTCATCCAAAACCTAGAATAATGTGCAGGATATTCATACACCTGAAATGTTTAAGAACAAGTCAAAGAAATATGTGTGTTGTTTTCCCTCCACCAGCACAGTACAAATATGCAAATATATCACCATATTTAACACTTTTCTCAAATTTTCTCTCAAGTTAACATCTTCACACATCATACTTCACTCTGTCTTTGCACATTGTTATCACAGCTGAATAAAAAACAAATAAAGTTTTTTTTTTTTTTTTAAATCATGGCTGCTCCATCGGCAAAATACCTCAGAACAATCCTTCTGCCCTGCCTGCTTTAAACAAAGTCTTTTCTCAGGCTGTAGCTATCACGTTATGGGAGTTTTAACCTCCAAGCAGCTGCTCATTGTTTTAAGTCATGTATCAAGTTGAGAAAATTTAACTGCAGTTTCCAGTTCCCCTGTCAATGATTCACCTATTTGCAAATGTTTATATAGAATGTGACTCCCAACTATTTGAGAAAGTTCTGCCTAATTACTCTTTTTTTTTTTTTTTTGCAGAGCTTGACTGAAACATTCGAAAGCAAATGGTTCTAGGCAGCTTAAATGCCTCGGCTACTTGACATCACAAAGCAGCCAATCCAGGAGCGCCATTCACTTTCTTTGGGGCTGATTGGCCACACCCCCAAAAGTCAAGATAAGGAAGACTGTAGATGTTGCCTTTTGAGGAACGATCTAGAGGCAGCTTCAGTTATTACATCTAGAAACTATTGATCAATCCCAGAATCTGGGTTTAGTGATGGACTCTGACCAGAACCAAAACATTTCTAGGTCTAGAAGACTAATGTCACAGCAAGATCTAGAGATACTCATCCATGTACCTGGTCGCATTGATTACTGAAACAGTGCCTTCACAGGTCTGTCTGGCTCTTTGGTCAGAGAACTTACTTTAAAATTATCATTGTAATTAATAAACCACTGAATGTATCAAACTTCCACACCACTCAAGTCTTCTGGTTCTGGTTTGCTGTGCATCTCCAGAACCAGAACCAAACATGGGGAAGCAGCATTCAGCTTCTACGCGCCACAAATCTGGAACAAACTTCCATTGATGGATTCGGTGCCTGGCAACAAATAGGTGTGTCTCCTTACTGTGTCTTTTATATCGCCTCCCATGCAGGGCTGACTAATGCAGCAGCAGTCAAGATTAGCTTCCATCAGATCTTCCTGTATGTGACATCAGTAGTGTGAGAATGCGCTCATTAGCACCTTCTTTTTCTCCGTACAACACAACACACGCTCCCTGAAAACATCCGGCGAGCAAAATGGTTTAAATAATGGACATCATTTTAGTTTCTTCCACTGCGTTGTGATCCACAAAAACATGTCTTCTGTTTTTCTATCATGTTTCCCCCCCCCCCCCACACTCCTTCCTTTCTGTGCTTTCTCGCTGTGCAGCCAATTGCTTTGATTGCCAAGATAGAAGCCGGCTGGAATGACTTGCCCTTGCTTGTGAAGCAAATGGAACATGCTAATGGAACTCATCGTATTACCCGATGCAAAAGTGCCATAGCTCATTACTTTAAGATAAAAGGATATCATTGTAGACGGCGAGCAGAATTGACTTTCTGTGCTGCGACTTGATGATGATTTAATTAACTGCTCTCTTTCACTTCTCATCCCCACGCCTGTCGCTTTCGCAGGTGCCACTAAACGAAGCACTCACACGGCTAGTGGGGGGAGAGAAAAGAAAAAAGAAATTGCTGTCATTACTTTCTTCCCTGCGAATAGAGGTATGCAAATTTCCCAGGGCGACAAAGGGTGGCAGAAAGCAAAAAAAAAAAAAGAAAAACTTAATAAAATGGAAATACCTTTATAACGAGGAAAGTAAAAAATCCTGAGATCAGACCTGACAGGCGAGGGCAGGCAATTCGATCGTCCTTTCACCGCGCACAGCAAAGCCGCCTTGAACTTACCGCTCAAGCGGAGGGCGGAAAGCAACAAATAATGATACCTCTAAAAAGATAAAAACACATTTCGGGTGCATAAGCGAGTCAGAGCTGTCACTCACTGATAAGTGATCAGAGTGAACTAATGCGATCCCCCATGCAAAACGTAGCCTTAGGCAGGCGGGAGCAGAAGCTCTGCATATGTGAGATTTTTTATTTTTTACTTCTTAGCAAGTCTTTCACCAGAAACACATTGAAGACTAGCAGAAGTTCTCGGTGTAACACACAAAAGTAACTTAGAAGTTGGATGTGATTGAAAAGATTACCATAGTTTGTGATGAATAGTTGAATACTAGCATAATAGTTTTTTGAAGGAAAGGGTAACAATTGGATATTACCTGACCAGATCTATAATCTATAATCAAAATGGCAATAAAAATAACACTTTGCTGAAATTACAGATGCATAAATTTCTGGAATTCTTCCAGTAGTTTTGTGGGTTTGTTAAATATTAGGTTTAAATGCTCTTTTACTCAACCCGTTCATGTCTGTGCTTTATTTTATATTGCTTTAATCTTTGTTTAATGTGATGGTTAGTGTAATTTGTGAAGCATTTTGGTCAACTGTTGCTGTTTTAAATGTGCTAAACAAATAAATTTGACAATAACATTGATATTGACATCTATGTGTTCCTAGGCCTTTGTCATGGTGGGCTTTCACAGAACAGCTGGTTTTATACAGAAAACTGAATTACATTTGGGTAGACTTTCTTAGTGTTTGGAGACTATCATTCTGCCTTAATTTTGGGAGATTGGAGAAATTGATCTCCTGTGAGAAGAGCTTGACTGACCGACCCAGCGCCCAAGTCATATCTACGTGTT